ATTCAGGAATGATACTTGAGGTATAATTGTATTAGTGCTTCCAGGCACTAATCAGTTTAAAAAAAATATGAAGTGTTGAATAAAATCCTGGGTACTATAAGCGGTACTAAACGGTAGATTTGTTTTTTACGTAAACTGGAGATGAATTAAGCTAATAAATCAAGCAGTAAAGGATACAACATAATGCCATCGATAGTGCACCCGCGATCATAGAACTTGCTATTGATGTTTCATATGATAAAGGTTCAGAAATTCCTTTAATGATAGCATTCTAATTATATAAAACTACCAACCTTTATCAGGATAATTATTTGGAGTATCAACATCTTCGAATAATGCACTCATATTTGCTATTACTCTTTCATCAATCACCCGAAATTTTTGGTACATATTAGGAAAGATCGTTTTATCAGAATTCTCATGGGTCGGTATTGGATATAGGAATTTACTACAGTTTCATCAGTTAAAAACCATCAAGAATGTCAAATGTGAATTGATGCTACTAACTAGATTTATTTTTAGTTACCCATACCTGACACCAATATGACTTGCAATGATTGCAACATCGTTATCGTGTTTTAGAGCCAAATGAGCGTTGATGAATACCAAAAGGTGGCGTAAAGCCTCTTTCAAGGGAAAACCTGACTTCTTCCAGACCAACGGATTTGTATCAATGATCAATACGAGAAGATTGGCATCCTCTGGTTAGAAAAATGGGAATGAATATCAGGTTTACGTGATAGTCCAATAAAGAGTGACTTGGAATGTTACCGTCAACCTTCATTTACGGTCGCGGTATCCTTCAAGACACTCATGGCGCTGACAACTAATGTCCGAAGTTTTATTACTTACATGTAAATCATTCAAATAAAGGCAAGAAAGTTTTTTGTACCATACCTTAACCGTTTACTCCTAGCTGTCGATCGTTCGAATTTAAATTGCTAAACTTTGAAGAAAAAAAAAAGTCAGGTCAATTACATAGATCAAATATAATCAGTAAATAAGAACATTTTATCGTCTGGATAAGGTAGTTACGTTATCGTTGTACTGCATATAAATTTACTCATATAGAAGTTAATGCATCATCCGGGTAAGATTTGAGGTGACAATTCATCTAACGTAATTTTGCATAAAGCTTTTTGTGGAATTCTACTTCAAGATAGTTTTTTTTTTTAGTATTAACCTTGTTTGTTGATGTATTGTCCTTTCTTTTTGATAATTTCACCCAGGTCTCCTATTGGTCGCAGGTTGATCCCGCCCTTGATTCATATACTATATTTATCGTTATCTCCCTTTGAACAATCTACGTACGTATGTACAATGATCAAATTTATACATACTGACCTATTTAATAATCAAACTATGATAACAACATGCAGAATACATATTCTTGCTGTATTGAACCGAAAGCCTGGTTAAAAAGCAGATAACGTTAAACCAAACTGGTTAATACTAATGTTCAATTTTTAATAAGGGGCAGAATTCTGCATTTGGCACAGTTCAAGTAAAAAAAAAAAAATCAGAAAGTAAATTTCGCAGAATTTTTTAATAAAATGATAAAATACTACCGTATGTTGCCGAATAAAGGCTACCAAAATGTACTTTTTTCTGGCCAAAGTGAAAAAATTGCCATATATTTAATAAAAACTATTATATAATACAGTAATAATTTTAGAATTTTGATTGAAGGGGTAGCTTCTATTCAGGTCTAATTTTATCAGTAAAACATAACCTTCAAATTTTTTGATCCAAAATCAAGGAGGTGGTTTTTATTCGATAATATACGGTATATAAAATTTGTCGTAAATCCAGAAGTCGACTTGGAAAAAAAACAAAAAAAAGTTACTACAAATAACTATTGTTATGTCTTAGTCGAGTTGGCGTTGGTCGATAAAATCGGATTTTTTAAAAGATCGACTTAGTCGAGTCGAGGATTATGAATAATGAAATAATTTGGAAGAGTATAAATGAGTGCGTGAGAGTGAAAACCTGGAAACCGATTTAATAATTTACTATGATTGGTTTCCAGGTTTTCACTCTC